TTTTTGAGACAGGGTCTCACTATGTAGTTGAGACTAACCTGGAACTCACTATGTAGTCCAGGCTGGTCTTGAGCTCATAGCGATCCTCCTGCCTCAGCCTCCCAAGTGCTGGGATTACAGTCGTGGGCCACCACACCCAGCCACGTGTGCCTGCATTTTAACTATGACCCTGTCACGCTTGTGACATCTTCTCAGAAAGTTTCAGATTTGGAGGATTTCCAATTTCAGTTTTGGAATGCTCAACCTGTAATTTGCTGAAAATGTAATCAGTGACAACAAAAGGGAGGGTTTTCAAATTGGCCAGAGTAGTCTGACCACCAGAAGCACAAAGCTACCAGTAATGCCCATTATATTTGCATTTGAGATTACAAATCGGTTCCATCTAATCTGTTCCTCCCAAGCAACATCAAGTGGAGTTTCTGACCTTGCAAATGATGCAGACACCCGCCAAAGATGCACCTATCCCAGGACTTGCCCATGATAGCATCTATCCAACTTGCCCATTTTTATACCACAGATTTCACACTTCAAGAAAATCCTAGCACTCAGCCAGGCTTGGTGGCCCACACTTGTAATCCCAGCACTGAGGCAGGAGGATGGCAAGTTCAAGTCCAGACCTAGCAGTTTAGTGACTTAACCAAGGCTCTACCTCAAAAATTTTTTTAAAGGCAGGGGGCAGGGCTGAGGATGTAGCTCAATGTGAATGCACCAGGGTGAATCCCTGTACTGCAAAAAGAAAGAGGAGGAGGAAGGAGAAGAAGAGGAGAGGAGGAGGAGGGGGAGGAGGGGGAGAGGAAAGAGGGAGAAGAAAGGGAGAGGGAAAGAGGAAAGGAGGGGCAGGAGGAAGCAGAAAACCCAGCACTCACCTGTCAGTAGTGAAAATGTATCCCAAAAGGTCCTTACAGCTTAACAGCAGGACACAAAAGGTTACAGCAAAGAGCTCTGGAAATAAAAGGGCAGAAGAAATGGCACAGTGAAAAAGGTCCATTATTATTGGCTACTAAATCCCCCACAGACTCCTGTGTTAAAGGCCTGGTTCTCAGTGCAGGAGTGTTCAGATGTGGGACTTGCAGGAGGTCACTGGAGTAGGAGGGTTCTAACCTCAGCAGTGTATTTTAATCCACTGACGGATCCACACTTTGATTGCATTACTGGAAGGCTGTGGAAACTTTAGGAGGGGTGCCTAGCTGGAGGAATAGGTTATTGGTGATGTGTCACTGTAGGGTATATCTTGTCCTCCACCCCTCCTCTCTGCTTCCTGGCTGCCATGAGGTGAGCAGCTTTGTTCCATAATGAGCTCCGACCCACGATTTTCAGCCTCTCTTCAGACCAGCAGCAATGGGGGCCAAGAAACCATGGACTGAAGCCTCTAAAACCATGAGCCAAAATAAATCTTTCTTCCTTTAAGTGATTTTCTGGGAGCTTTGTTACAACACTACAAAGCTGACTAACAAGGTCTGTAGGAAATAGGGTAGACTGCAAGCACCATGAGGCTTCTACAAATGGATGTAAGCACCTGTGACCAACAGGGAGACCACTGAGGACTTCTTCGCCTGTTCAATGTTTCCAGCACCCAGCGCATTTCCTACCCGGACGCTGGCAGCCACACTGAAGCCTGCAGGGACCTAAAATGGAAAGGAAACCTACAACAGCAAGACTGCAGGGTGAGAAGGGGGCACAGAGGAGCAGCCTCATGCCTCACACCTTACTGGCAAAGCTAGGTCCGACAAGTTCTGAAGGCTCATTTGCACTATCCCCATAGTCCAGTCGGGAGCCACCAGGGAGAATATGGAACTTGGATCCCCAGGTTACAATACTGATCATAAGCTGGACTTTTCCGCAGAGCATCCAACCTCTGCCCTGGGAGAACCCATGCAATCATATTCCTACTCTGACAATCAGAGGTGGGAAAGAGGGACTGGCAGCTTGGGAGTCCAGGCTAGTGCTATTCTGAAAGACCATTAAAGGACTAAGTTGAGAAGACAGGAATGGGACTAATGAAACTGTACAGAAGCAGCACGCTGTTGAGTGTAGGAATCAGCACTATGAACCCAGAAAGTCTAGGTTCAGATTCTGACACAGACATTTGTCAACTGTGTGACTCCAGGCAAGTTACTTCACCTTTATAGACCTCCATTGTTTAACCTGAAAAAAGGGTTTAAATATGGAACTGACCCCTTAAGGTTATCGTGGGGCTTTTCTGAGGCCCTACATGCTAACTGCTTAGAATACTGTCTCCCATGCAGGAAATGCTCAATAAAGGTTTGCCAATACTATGATCAATAAATCCACCACTTGAGAGTTATTAATAAAGAAAAAAGAGTCATCACTCACTTGAATGGGAATATTGCTTTACAGTCAGGGTAACTAAGGACAGAGTTAAAGAAAATCCAACACACAGATTGAAGATTGTAAAAGAAGTGGAACACTGGATTTCTGCCTGCACGCTCGCTACAGCAACATACAGACCTCCTCCACCAAATGGTATCCTCACCACAAAGAGAGAGACAGGAATGTGACAGGGAGGAAGCTGGCAGGGACCAAGCAACCAAATTAATGCCACTAAAGATGGGACAGTCAACATCCAGCATCTCCTGGTATGAAGTCCTGAGAAGGACACAGTGTCACTTCCTGCCCAAAACAGGTGGTCTGGATCTATGCAGGAGGAAATAGCACCAGCACATTGAGGAAAATTCTACATACAGTGGCCTGTGTCCTTCAAAAATGCCAAGGACAAAGGAAGGCTAAGGAACTGTTTCAGATTAAAGGACATCAATGAGCTGTGTCACAGCTGGGCATGATAGCACACACCTGTAATCTCAGCTGCTCCAGAGGCTGAGCAAGGTAAAGCCCAGCTTGGGCAATTTAGTGAGTCAAGACCAGCCTGTTTCAAAATAAAAATAAGACCTGGGGATGTAGTTTAGTGGTTAGAAACAATAACAAACTAAACACACTGGTTCAATCTCTGGTAGTACATACACAAAAAAGATACATTGTCACCTTAATGCCTGCCAGGTGAAAAGAGTGGTCACAAAGAATGTTACTGGGACAAATGATGGTATTTGGCTACAGACTTTGTAGATAGATAGATAGATAGATAGATAGATAGATAGATAGATAGATAGGGTGAGGCAGTAAACAGAGCAAAATGTAAACAGTTAGTAATCTGAGGAATAAAGGCTACACATCCTTCTTTTGATTAGGGAGAAAGAAATTCACATTCTTATAAGCCTATTGGAGAGAATATGGCAACATATGCAAAAGACTTAAAATTGTATGTAAGTTTCACTTATAGGAATTTATTTTAAAGAAATAATCAAGCAGGTGTACAGAAATATTTGCCTGAGGATGTTCACCAAGGTATTGTTAATCTGAAACATGGGAATTAAATATTCAACAGTGGGAGACTGGTTTTAAACCTATACCACACACAGCAGAGGGTACTAATATTCCATTAAGCATTTTGATTTAGAAGTAGTCTAAAAATGTAGTGAAACAGAAGGTAAATAAAACATAAAAATTGAAAAGTACAGGTTAAAACATTCTGCCAGTGATAGAAAAACAAAAACTAAAAACATAGACTCATAAGAGTTTAAAGAAAATAGGAAATTTATATTTTAAATAAAACCAATGGGGATGGAATCTAAGCATTAATACCATAAAAAATACAAAAATATGCTAGCTTTAGTCTCTTTTCATGCTACAAATGCCTCTTTCTGGTTTTACCATTGGTTTAGTTTGGTTTGATTTAGTTCTGCAGTGGTGGGGATGGATCCCAGGGCCTCAATTATGCTAGGCAAGCACTGTACTATTGAGCTATATACCTGCCAGCTCCCACCTTTTTATGTTTCTAAAGTGGTACTTGCTATAGGAAAGAGTTCTTCAGAATTTGCAGTTGATGTTTCCATTAAAACAATTAACAAAAAATCCTCTAACAACTACAGCTCTTCTCTAGAACATCCAAATGTCCTTCTTTTCGCAGGCTAATACCCACTGTGGGCATACACATTTCATCCGGGCTTTGTCTGTGGGTGATGGACACTGAGTGGCCACCACCCACTGGCCATTGTGAGTAATGCTGCTGTGAACACTGCCAAGTATCTGCTCGAGGTGCTGCTTTGCACTCTTTTGGGATCTTCCTTAGGGGTTCCACTGTCATGTAGGAAAGAGGCTTCGGGACGAGGTAGTCGCTAGCATGGTGACATGCAAGTAGCTTAGCATTTATGGCCATTCTCCAGCTCCATCTCATCTGGCCTCTTGAGGCCTTTCTGTTGTGGCAACTAAATAAGATGCTAAAAGTGTGGAAAAACAAGTCTTTCGGATTTGAGCTATGCTAGAGACAGAGAATCAACAGGTCTTTGGAATTTCTGCCCATCCCACCTTCAGTTCACGGGGAAGATCAGCCATGCCATAAGGACCCTCCTCAGCTCTAGAATGACATTTTATTTTGGTCATTCACTTCACAAATTATTACTTGTAACATTAATAACCGTGTTCATCTGTAGGACCCTTTCAGAGCATCAGGCAAGGGAAATGCCTGACATCTACACGGCAGCTCTCGGACACTCACCATGTACACAATGACACCCAGCTCGTACACAATGGACTGGGCTCCCAGCTCCACCGTGCCAAGGATACCTAGTGAACAAAGACAGCTGACACCTTGCTCCTGGACAAGATCCCCCACAATCCCTCCCATCACCGCATCACCTGCACACGTACCACTCAGGAAGCTCCCGATCTCGTAGGCCCACCACTCAATGCACAGCATGAACATGCTGGGGATGGCCAGGTTCAGGAAGGAGGCCCAGTCCTGCAGGCACTCGAGGGACCAGCCTGCAGGCGCAACAGCCACATTTCCAACATACTGGGCCAAGGGGCTGCAACTCAGCCTCAGCCCAGGGCAGAGCCACATCCAAGATGGAAGAAAGGGCAGTGTTTACCTCCCCACGTGGCTTCATGCAGTTTTCTCCCAAAGATGTAGAGAAAGAGGAGAAGAGCCAGGGTGAACTGGGAAATGCTATTGGCCAGCGCAGAACCCCTGGAAAGAAGGGTCCCCGTAAGGACAGGTGCCTGTGCCCCAGAGCCGCCGTGACTCTCTCTGAGGGGTGCAGAGCTTTCCGCCCCTTGTTGTGCCCTCTTCTTCCCAGGGCAGCATCCCCACGAGTGTTTTCCAGGGTGGCACAAGGTCACACATTGACCAACTAAAGTGCTCACTCTTCTCACCCTTGGAAAAGCCACATGCAAGTCATCCCTCCTCCCCATCCCAAGAGGAAGCTGGACTCACGTCACTCCAAGGTGCAGCTGATAGAGAAATACATAGTTGGCAAAGGCATTGACAAGGTTGGCTGCAACTCCAGTCACAATCTGGGGCAGAACGATTCCCTGGAACAAGGAGACACTGCAGGCCACACTTACAGAGACAGACATTAGGCTCCAGCTCTGCCAGTGTCCCAGCAGGAGGGGTTAACTGAATCTACCATATCCCTGCCACTCCTGCCATCTCCCTTCTCGCCTCTTACTTCTCTTTGGAGCATGAAGTATGGAGCTCTGGCCACAGAGTGACAAAGGCAGAAGAAAAGGCAACAGAGAAGGAAGAAGAGAAATGACTCACCTGTAAGGGTGGGAGGGCTGGCAGGGACAACATGTTTAAAGGTGACACTGCAGACAATGATATTTAATGGGTGAAAGCACAAAACTGTCTTGACCAAAATTGAAATTCAGAAAACTGACCAGAGAAACCTTGTGAAACAAATGTTCCTTTCTGGAATGTGGAATAGACTTCATAGCTGATCCCAGAAGCAGAGGCAGAAAAAACACCTCGTCTGTTTGGAACCTCAAATATTTAGGGGCTGTGTATAGAGCTCAGTCATAGAGCGCTTACCATATCCATCTTTTGCAAGTTTGGGCGTTCTGCTCATTTTTGTACTAAAGATTAAACTAAGGGCTTTTGCACTAGGTTACATCTCTAGATATTTTTGTTTTGTTTTTGTTTTTTAGATGGATTCTGACTAAGTCGCTAAGTTCCCCATGCTGGACTTGAACTTGCAATCCTCCTGCATCAGCCTTCCAGAGTAATGGAATTACAGCTATGCACCACAGCTCCCGGCTAGCTTTACAGTTTACAAGGACAAGAGGACTTGCATCCATGTCAGGGCAAGAGTCTCAGTTGACCACTTCCATGGACCACTTATTTGTCAGGAGATCCTGGTTAGTTTTCAGCAAGGGAGTCTGTGATCAGATCTACATTTCAGGCACACAGTAAAAGTAGTAGCAGTGTAGGATAGACCCAGGGAAAAGCTGGCAGCAGGGAGACTAGTTAGATCCTACAGAAATGATACAGAGAGAGAGAGATACAAATGACAGGAAATGAATTCAGGTAGTGGCATACACAGCAAAGGAGGAATACATAGGACCTGTAGGACCAGGCGACCGATTACTGTAGGAGGAGGAAAAGGTGAAGTCTCAGGTACGACGGGCCTACAAAGGACAGGTGACAGGAAGAAAAGGCGGTGGAGGCCACAGAACTGGGATCCAGGAGGCAAGCAGCAGTGCTGGGAGCAAGATGAGCTGGTTGGGTATGTGATACAGATGAGTCTCCCAAAGGCAGCAAGGGTCTGGAAGTCAGAGAGACAGATGTAGAGCCAAGTGCACACAGATAGATAGAAACTGGACACAGGCAAGGGGGAAGCTCCTTAGGGAAGGTCATGGAGGCACAGGGCAGCCACCCTCCCCTCCAGCCTCCTCTCAGTTTCCACCTGGAAGCCAAGGCCTGCCTGGGTCTCTTCCATCCTCTTCCACCCTCACCCTCTTTTAGGTTGTTAACCTTCTCCAAACAATCAGGCACTTCTTTCTGTTCTGCGTGTAGTTACTGGCCAGCTGTCTCCCTAGGGGTATCCCCAAGACAGAAACTTTGAGTTGCAGCGCCATCCCCTCTTGTCCCAAGGTCCCGCCACCCACCTGCCATCTCCTTCTACAGAGACTACCCAGGGCAGTTCTCCGTCGTGGAGCACCATCAGCCCACAATTTCCACAACTCTCATCTCTGCCCAGTCCATCAGTTTGTTTCCTACAAACTGAAATCTGTGTCGGAGAAGACAATGCCCTACTCCAGCAGTCCCTGCACCAGCCTCCTAATGCCATCACCTGCTGTGTCCCCCACACTGCAGCAGCCAAACTTATTCTGCGCACCCCAACCCTGTGAATGGCCCTGCTGCTCCACTGTCTGGAACACCTTTCCCCCTGCCCCACCTCAGAAGCCATACATGTCCACCATAACCCAATTCACACCTGCAATTCACCCCTTTCAGCTCAAGCCCCGCTCCCAGGTCCCTCCCTTGGCCCTGAGATGCAGGAAGTGAAGAGTTCATACCCACTTTCTTCACTTAAGCAAATCTGAACCTGAGGTTAAGACCACCAAGGTACTGGGAGACTGACAGCCAGAAAGGAGACCCTGTGAGGTGCTTAGGGTTCTATCTGCTTCCAATGAGGTTCTCAGTTGAAGAACACAGCCCAGGGATGAACCAAAAACCCTAATTTCCTTTTGTGCCTATAACTAGTTCAAGTTAGTTTCTCACCTATAATTAATTCACATGCTAAAAAAGTATAGAAATATTATTATTTTGTTAATGTGGTAGTATCCTAAACTAAGACCATTAAATAGGTAGGAAACTCTCTCCTTTCTTTCCTTGTTACATATTCAGGAAAGTGTGGCAATTATCCATGACCTGGTCCCACATTTACTTGGGTTTGTCTAGAAGGAATAGTCCACATCCCACATCGTACACTAGAATCACACAACCACTCCTACTAAGTGAGGCCACATATGTTGGGGTCTCTGGCCAGTGCTGTGAGCCATATGTGAAGAGTCCTGACTGACATTAGGTGTCATTACTACTTGAGCTTTTGTGTCCCCAGGGGAGAAAGCAAGGGCTTTCAGACAGAGCTGAGCAGTTGGGGCCTGATGGGCCATTGTAATCCTCAGCTTTCTCTGGAGAGCAGACAGGCCTGAACCATTCCCTTCAGAGAGCCAAAGAACACAACGGCTCTGATGCTAATAACGCCAATGACAATATTGCCAAGTGGGAACTGGATACGAATTTTCCAGAGCCAAAAGTAATGCGGTTGCTCCCCGATATCACTGAACAAACCTCTCCACATCCAAGTCCTGCACATATAGCCCTGAAAACATCTTTCAGTGCCTCTAAGTAGGTGAGTTTCCTCCACCCTGGTTCCCCTGACCCCTGAGTATATGCAGAGCCCCCATTCCCAAGGCACTCCCCCCAAGGAAAAGGGCCATCCACATTACCTGGTTGAGCAGGTATTTAACTTGTAATATATAAAGAAAGGCTGCCTACAAGAGAGCAAGAGGTAAAGGTTAACAGTGAAGTCTGACACACATCATTAGGCTGTGCCACAAGCACGGCGTGGCTGCACTTTGCTCCCATGTGAGTGGGGAGTGAGACAGGGCATTTGTGGTCATCTCCTTTATGGATGAACATGATCCAACCTCCCCATCTAACCCCCTTCCCCAGCTGGCAAAAAGAAATATAATTTCCTTCAGTGCATGGCAAGGATTTCCCCGGGGGACGCTGGCATAGAACTTGGATGACCCCTCCTTGTAGACCAGGGTACCATCTCCTATGTGGTGGAACAATGAAAGAATATCACATTAAAAATATTTAAGGACCAAGTTGGTGTGTATCTCAGTAGTACAGCACTTGTCTACAGTGCTTGTCTGGGCTCAATCTCTAGAACCACAAAAACATACAAATAAAAATTTTTAAATATGGAAGTAAAATTAAAGATTTGAGGGTGAAGAGCGCAATGCCAGTTATGAGCGAAAATGGTTATTGTTACGGGCTGAATTATGTCTCCCAAATTCACACATTAAAGCCCTATGCTCCACATACATGACCATTTGGAGGTTTTTAAAGAGCTGATGAAACTAAAAATTAAGAAATCAGGATGAGGCCCTAAGGGTGCCGTTTACTTACTTACATTTTTTTTCAGTGATACTGGAGATTGAACCCAGTCTTCACATTAAGCTATATCCCCAGACCCCAATTTTTTATTTTTTATTTTGAGACAGGGTCTCACTAAACTGTTAATTTGCCCAGACTAGGCTTGAATTCGTGATTGTCCTGCCTCAACCTCCCAGATTACTGGTATTATAAATTGATTTTTTTTTATTCATTCGTTCATTTACAGTACTGGGGATATGCTAGGCAGGTGCTCTACCACTGAATTACACTCCAGCCTTTTTTATTTTTTTATTTTGAGACAGAGCCTCACTAAGTTGCTCAAAGTCTCAAGAGGGACTATGTTACATGGCAACAAAAGGGCAGCTATTTGCAAGCCAAGGAGAGGCCACAGAAGAAAGCAACTATGCCAACACCTTGACCTTGGATGTATGGTTTCCAGAACTGTGGGAAAAAAAAAAACATTTCTGTTGTTTAAGCTCATCAACCTTTGGAAATTCAGTTACAGAAGCCTCGGCAAACTAATTCAACTGGATAAGCGCAGCTTTGAGAGTTCATAGACCACACACAACTGAGTGTCAAACATTAACAGCTAGTGATAGTTCTGTGTGACCCCCCCCTCAGCAGACACAGAAAAGTCTGAAGATCAAAATGATGTCCTCAGAGGTTTTGAACTGCGTATGACTTTAACCCTAAAATAAGAGTCTGGACTCTTCTCCCTGGATGATCTCAAAGGGCCCTCCAGCAGTGGGACTTTTAAGACAGTGGTCTCTCGGAGTTGAATCACCCACCCTGCTGTTTCAGTTATGTTGGTTATGTCCTCAGTGGCCATAATTAAAACCATGCTTCCATGAAGGGGTCAGCGTCATGTGTGAGAATCATGCAAGACTGAGCCAAACACGGAGCTCAGGGATGTTGCAGCCACTTTTCACCCACACACCCCAAGAAGGGAACCTCTGAGCCCTTCAGAACTTACAGGAAGAGCTGGAATGAAGATCATGACATAGGTCTGAGTAAGCCTAAATAATGAAAAGGTTAAAATTACCACCAATGATAGAGGCCTCCATTTCACCAGAAAGACAAAATAAAATAATGACTAATGTTGTCTATGGCATTCTCCACTCTCTAAATAGACTTAAACTACCAGAGCAAATAGGAAAATTTAAAGCTTGCCATAATCCAAATTACCTTTCTTGTTTTTTCCAAGTCTTTAGGTGTAGGATAGGGTTTCTCAACATTGCACCACGGCCAGACAACTCTATTCAGGAGCTGTCCTGTGCATCATAGGATGTCTCCAGCCTTCCTCTCAACGAGTAGGAGACCCCATAACCAGTTGTCATACCCAGAAATGACTTCAAATACTGTCACATGCCCCCTGGGTTCAGAGCTGCTAGTTTAGGGCTAGAGTTTCTTAATTTTAAAGGTCTTCATCAGTTAAACAGTGGATCTCAAATGTGGCAGCTCTTTGGAATTATGTGGGAAGCTTTGAAAGCTACTAATGCCTAGGCCTCCCCCAGATCAATTAAAAGAGTGGGGGAAGAGGGCCTAGAGATACACAGCAGGATTTGAAGCACATCGATGATTTTAATACTAACCATAGTCAGAAAATACTAAGCTATGAATAAGCACTGCAAACTACCATGCCACATACAGAGAGATATTCACAAATCTTTTTCTTTTTCCTGGTCCTGGGGATCAAACTCATGTTCTCTGCATGCTTGGCAAGCCTTCTATCTCTGAGCTATGTCCCCAGCAGTTTGCAAATCCAATTCTTCTCAAAACTCTTCACTCTGGAAGTCCTCCAGAGGACGACGAGTGTAGATCTTAGGGGCAGATACAGGAACTAAGGCCTGGGTGGGAGGGGTCAGCCCAAGAGAACTTGTTCCCAGCTTGGTGTGTGGCGTTGTTCTTGCCCTTTGTAACTCCCAGAGGCTGAGCCTGGACGGATGGCCTCTTTGCTGGGATTCACGCTGAACCCACCATTACAGCCCCATCTTACCTGGACACATCTGGGTCCTGCCTGAAGAGAAGCAGAAGGTGCTGGGTGTTGAGGAAGAGTGCCCAGCAGGGAAAGCAGGAGAGCAGTAGAATGAGTGTGCCCCTCTGCAGGATCACCCCCACGTGCTTCAGGTTCTGGCTCCCATAAGTCTGAGGTACACTCAGCCAAAATGAAATCATTAGCACAGAAATGACACATCCCCCCCACAAAAGCCGTCAGCTGTGCCTCTAGATGCCCTGGAGAATTTGCCATATGCCTTCGGGAGGAGGCATCCATGGTGTAAAAGACAAGAGGTTTTAGAACACAGGTAACATTTAAAATGCACAGATGCCAGGATCCCACTAAAGACATCCTGGATTGGGTCTCAACAATAATTTTTAAAAGGTCCCCACGTGACTCTAACATGAATTAAGAGATACATAACCTGCAAACTTGCTAAAAATGCAAATTATTGGGCCTCACTCCAGAACTTCTAAAGCAGAAACCCTGGGGTCAGGGCCAGTGGTGTGAGAAGACCGCTCCTATAGACTTATAGAAGCCAAATTGTGCACATGTCTTCCAGCTTCAGGCTAGCCACAGAGGAAAGGCTTACACCGCTGGCACTAGCAAAACAGACAGCACTCAACTCAGGATGGATTGACTTATAATTTTTTTGCTTTAAGATGGTGCAAAAGGGACATGAATTCAGTAGAAAGCAGTTGCACTTTGAATTCTGACTTGGAATCCTTACTGTGCTAGCAATATGTGGTATACTCCTCTGATGGGAAGCTGGGTGGTGACAGCAAACCCAGTCAGTCATTTGATCACAAAGAGAATTACTGATACTCTACAATACTGTTTTGCTAAGCTAGGATTTTCCACAGGTTAAGTGTATTCAATGCATATTTTCAATTTACAATGGGTTCATTGGGATGTCAGTATACAAGTCAGAATGTTTCCCTCCCACTCCTGTCCACCTCCCCCCAAGGAGGATGTTGAACATTCAAAGCCACCCAAGGGTTGGGACTCAGCAAGCAACCTGTGCTTTGACAAGCCCTCCAGGTGATTCTGACCCAGGCTTAGGTTCGAGAACCATAGAACTATAGCAACTAAAATGTGGGTGATAAGAGAGACTGTTACAAAATGTCCCCTGTATGGTCAAAATGTAGGATAAAGGAGTCATCAGATCAATGGTAGCTCACAAGGGTGAAAGAAACCCACTCATACTACAAACAATGCAGGTAAGAAGAGCTGAAGTCAAAAGCTGCAGGTACTCGCTTCTGTGTGTGCACATGACTCCCCCTTTCGCTGGTGGGGTTCCTCCATCTACTCTCAAGAGATGTTATGGGCCACCATGAGGATGTGACCACTGCCATTTACCTGCGAGATGAGGGTGTCACAAGCAGAAGATAAGCCATGTCCCACAGAAATGCCAGTGACATTGATAATCTGGAAATAAAGCAAATAAGCCAGTGTTAAAAGGACAGGAAGGCCAGTTCTCTATCCCTGCCATGTTCCTGCATCAGCATTAACAAGCCAATTTAATCACCTTTGTTAAAAGGTTCATTGGGCTACCTTGAAGGATAAATTCTGAGAGAGACAAAAAAAATTTCCACAAGAGGTTATCTCACAGCCTTCTTGGGTTGTGCACTCCAGTTCAGGGGATTGTGAACCAGTTTGGACACTGGTTAGGTTCTACACCTTCCCATTCCATTTCCAGATTAGGATGTTCAGTGACATGGACAAGAGTGGATTGTGGAGGATCTGGTCCCTCTTGATGATATCAGAGTTTGAGTTCTCTTTTACAATTTCCTTCTCTCAGATATGGGACCATAGCAGAAATCAGAGCTCCACAGATTACAAATTGCACAACATAGCTACCAGAATGTGATCCCCAAAGATATCCCCATTCTGATCCCCAGAACCTGGGAATCTGTGCAATCACACAGCAAAGAAGGATTATTTAAGGCTGCAGTCCTGCAGCATCTTGACTTTAAACCTGCTGAAACCCAGTTCAGTCTTCACCAAGACAGCCACTCAGTCAAGCCAGTTTGTTACAGCAGCAGGAGGAAGCAAACATGGGCAGCTTTCATCAACCCACTAGAGAGACTCATACATACTGCAATTGCAAGTGTGACAGCGTCCAGTTCCAGCTTGCCCAGGTGGCCACAGAACACGGAGCTGATGAAACTGATCAGGAAGATCATCAGCTGGGCCAGGAACTGGGAAGAGAGGGGACATGGCGAGATAAGCACCAACCACAGAATCCAAGGGATGGCCCAGTGCCCTACCCACCCAATTCCAGTGGGAAGTAAAGCCCAGATCTCAGGGAGCCACTGCCAGCTTCCACAAGCAAATGTACAATTTCTGAGGGACTCTTTGAAACAGTAAAATGTTTATCTTCAACTACTGCAAAAATCCCATTTTTGAATTTTGAAAAATCTTTTCATTGGCACATGTCTATCTTGTGCCATTGAATGTTGGAACTGGTTTTAACTTTCTTTTCATTCATACTAGGGTCTGCAGCTAAGAGTTTGCCTTAAACCTCAGAAGAGACTTTGGACTCGGACTTTTCAGTAATGCTGAAACTGTTAGGACTATTACAACTCTTAGAGATGGACTAAGGACAGAGGAATGGGCCAGGGGTGGAATGTTATGGCTTCTGTCTAGATGCCCCCACAAATAGCTGGATCTAGAGTGTGTGACACTGCGATTGATTCACAGTACAATGCTAGGATCAAGGGCCCTAGGATTAAGGGTGTGAGCACTACCCACCCTATGTAGCCTGGATAAGACAGAAGGGATAGAAAGAGCTGCAGTCATCCCTTGTTGCTTTGCTACCTCCTGCTCTCCACAAACTCTCTCTCCTCTGCAATGCTATCCTGACTTGGAGCCAGTTGATTATGGATTGAAACCTCCACAAATTGAGACAAATAAACGTTTCCTCCTTTAACTTGGGATGCTGGGTATTTTGTCTCAGCAGCAAGAAAAATAACTAAGGCAGCACACAATGATTTACATACTTGTGGTGTACAGTGTGATATTTCAGCATAGTGTACCCTGTGTGATAATGAGATCAGGGTTAAGTGGCATATCTATCACCTTCAACATGTATCATTTCTTTGCATTGGAAACATTCAAAATCTTCTTTACTGGCTACTTTGCAATATGCAATTAATTATTGTCAACTGTAGTTACCCTACTGTGCAAGAGAATATTAGAAATTCACCCCGGCACACTGAGGCTGGAGGAGCTCAAGTTCAGTCCCAGCTGAGGCAATTTAAAACTAAAACACAACGAGGAGGGCTGAGGATTTAGCTCAGTGGTTCCACTGCCTGCCTCGCGAGCACAAGGTCCCGAGTTTGATCCCCCGTACAAAAAAAAAGAAAGCAAGGGAAATGAAACACAACAAAGGGCTGGCATATAGCTCAGTGTGAAAGTCCTGAGTTCAAACCCAGTACTACAAAAGTTATTCCCCCATTCAGTTGTACCCCTGTATCCATCAACTAGCTTCTCTTCAGCCCCCCAGAATCATGTTTTTAAGAATTTCCCAGTCTTTCTGGTGTATTTTTCACTTTAATTTCTTACATCAAAGATCACACTGTTTCTTCTGAGGTTTTCAGAGGCTCTCTTCTTGGATAACCTCCCTGTTATCCCAGATTCCTAGTGAGGATTCTCCTGGAGAGAAGATGACCTTTAACATCAAGAATTCACTCCAGGACCAGGGATTTAGCTCAGTGGTTCCACTGCCTGCCTCACAAGCGCAAGGTCCCAAATTCAATCCCCAGTACCAAAAAAAAAAAAAAAACAAATTTCACTCTAGCCTCCAGGGCATTCCACAGCTAGGAGGGATGGGTGGGAATACCATTATCCAATTAGAAGGCCAATGAGATCCAAGCATCCTGGGGAAATGCTACCAATCTGTCCAGCACCTCTAGTTCTTTAATTCTATGAAGGCTCAGAAATGAGAGCAAACTCGCCTTCTGGAATACTGAGCTATTCTTCTAGTGACTGCTGTGAATCATTCCACAACTGGACACAGCCTGTTTCTTGAGGTTAATTTAAAGCCACCTCCTGCTTCCCCACCGGACAGAACCAGACAGTCCAATATCTTGCTCCAGTGGAAAAGAGGGGCTATTGGCCCAAGAAGGGGTTCATCTGACCCCCACCCACTTCCTAGGAGAAGAGAACCAGCACCTAAGGATTTGCTGTGCCGGCACCACGGGGCCCCTTTCAAAAACTGACACCCCAGGATGGTGACCTTGCCACTGTTTCAGCTTCAGTGCTGCCTCACAGCCTTCAGGGAAATGAGCTCCTCAGTGCTGAGCTTCAGCACACCTTCTCCTTGGGCTCCAGTGATAAAGCTCCCTGTGTTGGTCTCCACCTGGCCTAGCCTGACTGCCTGAGCTGTAGCCACCCCAAAATTACCACAGCAGGAGCTGATTTGGGTTTGAGTAAGTCCCAAAACCAGGAAAAAAAAATAACTCCTTTCTTTCCTTCCTCAGAATTCACATCTGAGAGGTAGTTTCCAACTCTGGTGATAGGCTCAGTCCTTAAAAACATGAATTGGCCTGGCACATTGGTGCATGCTGCATGCCTATAAGCCCTGCTTAGGAGGCTGAGAGGTAGAAGGAGTCCAAGTTCGAAGCCAGCCCAGGATAAATAGTAAGACTCTGTCAAAAAAAAGAAAAAAGGGAACAACAAAAAAGGAATGGTGTTCCTAACTCTGTGTGTGTGTGTGTGTGTGTGTGTGTGTGTGTGTGTGTGTGAGACACACATGCAAAAGCAGGAGACACATCTTTCTTGCATCAACTCCCAACCCCAGACTCAGGCTCCTTCCTCCCTGCTGCAAAAACCAAGTGTGAACTTATTTTCTAATAGAGCCTCCCTCTAGTACAGAGGAACGCTTGCGTATTGCACAGGTAAGCCTAAACAAAATGAGCAGGAGTGGAAATGAAGGGGGCAGAGATGTAAATGTTAAATGTTGGGCTTGGGAGTGTACATCAGTGGTAGAGCACTTGCCTAGCCTGCACAAGGCCCTGGGTTTGATCCTCAGCCCTGCAAACAAATAAAAATTCATTTTTCAAAGAACACTGACATGTTTAACCTGATTTTGCAGAATCTGAAGCCAGAGCCATTGGATCACCATAGGCAGGTACCAGGACACAGTGCCATGAGGTAGGTGTTATCACTTCTCTTACATATATTCTGTGGTTCACTCGGTGGCTCCTGCCGTCTCTTCACAGTTCTGTCTCCCTGAAGGCCACTTGTTGTTCATGGCTTCGTGTGAGAACACGCTCAGTCTTCCCTGCCATCAGGCTTTTGGAGTGCAGCCCACATTTTGCTTTCATAATCCTGCTGCTATGAACATCTCTCACTTGGGTGGGAATGAGGCATTTTCTTAGGGTGAATGCCCAGTGCAAAGGTGGGAACAGATGTCTCTTATACAAAAGGCCAGAAGTCAAGCTGAGTTCAACTAATTCCTGTGAGAGACACCTCTGGTGTCAATGCCAGCTAATACAGCCTCCTGGTGAAGGCTGCGACTGATTTCCTTCTGTTATGGCAATAACCCTGCACTCAGTCCCTGTTATGGTTTATAACTAGATATCCCCTCAAAGTATCATGTGCTCAAAGGTGGGGCAATTGAAGGTGATTGGCTATGGGGAGCCAACAACTGACTCTCTTGGAAGATGAGGTCAGGTCTGAAGACGTAGGTCACTTGAGGCATGACCCATATGGGCTTATCTCCCTTCCCAGCTCCTCCCTTGACTCTCTGCTTCCTGTCTGTCTGCTGGATGTTTCTACCATCTTTTCCTTCCTTGGAGTCAGCCAACTACAGACTAAAAATGCGAGCCAAAATAAATCTCTCCTCCTTTACACTGTGGGTATTGTGTCTCATCCATAAGGAAAGTAACTAAGATCCCATCCAAGTTGGGCAGCTGAAGGCAGCCAGCCCCACTCAAGCCTCAGTTCCAGGAGAACAGGGCTCTGGAGGTTGTTTACTAACTTCTGCACAGATCCTGGTTTCAAGCCTTTGGATGAACTACTGGCCATAAATCATGATCTCTGCACACACAAGGGTCACGTGGGGTGCACTGGTCCATCTCAAGACACAGATTGAAAATGATAAAGGATGGAACAAGAGTAAAGGGTGAAGAGGAAGGGAAGGGGAAATAAGAATAAAGATTGGCACTAGGGATTTAGCTCAGTGGTTCGGCGCCTGCCTCGCAAGCACAAAGACCTGAGTTCAATCCCAAACAAGAAGACAGATGCCATGGACAGGAACCTAATTACCCCAATTAATGTAAACATTATAGGCCATAACATAAGCTAAAACAAATAACATCAACAAGTACACAAAATGGGATGGGGAATGGGGCAGGGGAGGGAAAGGGGATTAAAAGAAGAAAGAAACTATAATATGTACACACATGTAACCACTGCCCAAGATGACTGTAAACTGCATGAATTGCAAACATGTATTTTAAAAATTGAAAAATCATTTTAAAAAACCATCTCAAAAAAAAAAGAGACAAATTTAGAAGGTCTAAGTGCCAAGGGATCTGCATTTTCATACATGTGCCACCCCTACCCCCAGCAAAGATTTGGGAGGTCAAAGACCTTGCTGTGAGAATGCACTACCTTTGGAATTGCACTACCAGGAGGCATGCCAGGGAACTCAGAGAAGATATAAGAAACAAAGATAGGTTGAAAGAAGACAAGGAAGATCATATTTTAAAACCTGTACTTTTCAGATGACTGCAACGTCAGGACACAAAGTTACCCAGGGTCACTCATATTTGTACTCTCGAGACTTGTTTATGCTTCTTTTCTGTCACGTCCACCACATCCAAAATCCTTAAAGATACTTTAAGTCCATAAATTAGCTTAATTAAGTCCATAAATTAGCTAGATAAGGTAAACAGCAGAATCCTGACATTAAAAAATACAAATAAATTTGCTTAATTGATAAAGTAAGGGGCAGGATCTTAATCTTTTAAAAAATAGAGATAAAATAGCTTAATTGATATAGTAAGGGGCAGAACCCTAACCTTAAAAAATATATGATTGGGCCCCTGCCTTTCTCCTATAAAATATGAAGTAAGTCATTCTCTTAGTACTGTGGATGGGCCATTGATTTTTCTCCCATAAACCAAACCCAAACTTTCTATAGATTCACAAATTTCACCATCAAAAACACACAAATATACCCAGTTCCAGACTGTAATGCACCTCTCTCTGGAAGGCCTGCACTCTACTTCTCTGAATGTATACTTTTTAAATTCTGCCTAATAAATCCCTTTATGCCTTTTTACTGATGCATCCTGAAAATCCTTTTCTGTGAAATAAGTCAGCAAAACTGCAACCTGTCCCACGATAGAGTGAATCAAGGTTTCCCATCTCTGATTTGTGGATCTCCTTGGACCCTTCCTGGTGTCATCACCACTTCTAGGCAAAATTCTCCATAGCAACTGTCTAACAAGCAGTGACTTGAACCAGCAGTGCTCAGATAGAGCCCAAAGGACAATGGGAACTAAGGCTGGGGTGTAGCTCAGTGGGAGAGCATGTTCCCTGAGGTCCATCCCCAGTGCAACCCCAGATCCGCCAGACTGACTATACTTCTGTCCCGTCTTCTTATCCAGGATCTTTCTCATTTTTTAGCCAGGCAGCAACATACAATCTGGTAGCAAGATAAACACTCCTACAGCACAGCTGCTTATGAAAGTTGATTCCCAGGCCAGCTGCCTGCCCAGTTGCCCATGCAAGGCTGTGAAAAGGACCTCTGACCCCATCCCATGGGGACTTGAAAGTCCACTCTTAGCAGTAAAAGATCAGCATGGGAAGGAGCCTGGGCAGTCATCTGGGACAGCTTCCTCTTTGTACACACAAGGAAGCTCCTGCCCAAAGTCACCTGACGACTCGGTCCATTCAGGACAACTATGTTTGGAGTACAAAGTGTATCCCAAGCACTGGGTCATGTTTGAGTTAATCAAGCACCGACACTCCATTCCTACCCCATGGAGCCCATAGCACAGAAGGCAGGATGTTGAGGTTGCACAAAGTACATGTGTGTGCTGAGCTAGAAAGGCAGAGGGTGAGACAGAGAAGGTTCCATGAGGCAGCAAAGTGGAGCTGAACCCTGACTGATGGACCTCTCGAGCGAAGGTGCACACAGGGTTGAGGTGGGCTGACCACTGACGGGAGACTGGTCAGTGGAGGGCCACAGGAGGCAGTTGCACAGGTCAAGGCAAGAAGCTCAGCGGGGGCCAAGCCACTAAGCACGTTAAGGGCCAAGGTCAGGGTTTCAAGCAGGAATGTGAGAGCTTAAGGGAGCATTCAAAAAAGGCCTTCAGTGGCTCTATGTGGTACATTTGGGTGGCATAAGCTAACGGGGGAGGAGACTGTTTGGAGGCTGTCAGGATCCACCCAGAGTGCAGATGTGAAGAGGTAAACCACTCTAAGAGATTTTCAGGATGTTAAAATCAGAGGCTTTGGTGAGGATGGGCTGCAAAAAGCTGGAGAAGAAGGAAAGAGGTCCCAGGCCCCTCTCTCCAGTGGCCACCATCATTGAATACTTCCTCACTCCCACTCACTCACCTGTCTGGAAGAGGAACCATCTTCTACATTTTCCTCTCCTTTAGCCTGGGTTCTCTCCTGTCCCTAGTAACCTTCCCCTGTCACTAACTACTCCCTGCTAAAGATTTCCCCAGGCCTGAGACAATTCAAGCTGTCAGCCTGCATTTGCACGCGCGTGCGTGCATGCGTGCATGTGTGCGTGTGTGTGTGTGTGTGTATTCTGACTCCCATCACTGGATGCCAACCCCCCAGCCTTCCCTGATCTTCAGACTGTAGTCCCAGGAGGTTCTGAAACTCTTTCCCGAGAGTAAGGGCATAGATGGTCCCACCCTTCTTACATCAGCCCGTGCCCTGAGGAATCTATCTTTGAGGTTATTTTTCAGGACTCTGACAATTCAGCCTGGTAGGACATGCTAATGACAAAGAGAAAGTGTGGAGGGAATGCCTGAGGCAAGATATTTGCACACTGCCACTTTCCTTCCCTCATAAGCATCTGCTTTCCTAAAGCCTTTTGCAAGATAAAACGAAGAGAATTTTTTTGAGATGTAAAGCTACTCATCCTAGTCTTCCCTTTATAGCATGGATTATTCTGTCTTCCAAGACCTCATTTAAACCGGACACAGTGGCACAAATCCATAATCTCAGTACTCAGAAGGCCAAGACAGGTGGGTGGGAACTTTAACACCAGCCTGGACTACATAGTTACTGTCTCAAAAGAATAAAAAGAGGGGTTGGGGGCTTCATTTAAGGCTCACTGGGAAAGTATCTTAGTGAATCTTAACACCCTTAAGGGTCAGAGCCAATATTAACAACTTGGGAAGTTTGGAAAGAAAACTGTGAATGAGGAAGAGAAGATGTGGAAAAAGGAGCGCCAGGCCAGCCATCCCGTTCTTTATGGTAGCGCTATAAAAAAGAATACTGGCCACTGAGCATAAGGAAAAAAGACAGTCTCCTCCCAACCTGTGTCCTTCAGGGTTAGGATATTCACAGAAGATGGGGATAGAGATGAAGAGAGACTGAGTGAGGCTCCACATATAATTTGTAAGAGACTAAACCAGGGCCGGAAGTCTCTGACCACATTTTTGCAAAGCATTCACAGAAACATGTACACCAAGGACTGGAGGGAAATTGCCAAATTACCTCCTTGTAGTAAGATTCAGAGGTTTGTAACTGTTTTACTACTCCTGGCTTTCTTTTTCTTTTTTTTTTTCTGCAATGAATATGTATTGCATTTGTAATAAGCACAACCATACACATGGAAACATGCACAGGCACACACAATCAGAAAGGGCAAGTCCCCTCTAGGGTGTTTCCCAAGGTGATCCCCTCATCAAGGGACCAGATCACTGGGGGGCAATGGGTTTCAGGAAACTGTCCTGTTGTTCTTGTTGGTTGGTACTACTAAGGCAATAATGGCCTCGTAAAGCCCTTTCCAAAGCACAGGCCATTAGCTTTGTTTTATGGATGAATAAGCACAGTCTAGAAGAGGTTAGAGACACTCAAGTTCATAGAGCTGTTTCCTAGTGTACCTTGGAGAGATCACAGACACTCCTTCGGAGTTGTCCTTCACTTTCTACACCCTTCCCCTTCTGATTCTCCTCTTACTCTGCTAAAGAGAAGCCCCACCTGGATGGATGAGGTGTTAATTGCAGGATCATTCTTTAGATTTACAGAACCCAGAACATCTGATATCCTTAGCAAGGAGCCTTAGGTTTCAGTTCTTTGCATCAGTAACACAAAGCACTTAAAAACAAACAAACAAAAAACTGAAGCTAGTCCCAGGAATTTGAGGTCTATTTCAATGTTCTGGAGGAAAAAAAAAACAAAACACATTTCAAAGACTCAGCTCAGCTTGTAGCTTTCCTTCCCTGCTCCTCCATCCTTTGCCACCCTGCTGTCCCCCAACATGGAGCTTTAAGGTGATAGCCTCAGGGTGGTCTCAAGCTTGCTGAACCCTGAACACACATTATTCCTTCCTTCCAACTCTCAGCTCACAAATACTGGCCTTCCAGCCCTTGCCACCTGGACTTTTAATCCCAGGATCAGAGTCCAAAGAACCCCAGATCTTTATTTCTTTCCAGTCTGCAGAGCATCACAAACGCCCATGCACAGGATGCATTTCCACACATGGCTTTGTGCCGGGTGTTGATCACGCTGCTCTGCCCCACACACTGGATCTCTCCATATCTCACGAACAACAGTGTCACCACCGCCCCAGGAGGACACACCTGCCTATGCAGGTGCAGAATGTCTGCTCCACCGACAAAAGGGTATCTTACCGCAAACACACACTTGCTGCTTCTGGTCCAGTGAAGCGGCTCCCCTACCCCTGGGGCTTGAAAACCACCCAAACTGGCAAAAGAACAGGAGTGGGATTGCATGTATTGTGATTTTTACGGTTTTAAAACCCACATCGCTTTTTAAGGCTAAGAGTCCCTGTCTAATGATAAGAAACACGCGCGCGCTCAACACTTCATCCCCAAAGAGAACCACATTTAAAAACTCGGTTTTTGAACACCATTATTGGCGGGGAGGGGAGTGTCGTGCAGGATGCCTCCGACTTCCTCTGCAGAATTTGACTCTAGATTCCTAACCGTTACAGAAATGCAAGCACCAGATGAGACAATTCACTTTCTTCGCGCTTCTCGTAGCCTCAGGATAGACTCCCCAGCTCCCGGGCTTTCCCACTAGTTTGCAAAGAAAACAAATTCTAAGAGTTAGTTGAAGTAACTTTTGCTTCGTTCGCTGGAATCTCCGCAAATACAACGCGGAGTGCCTCGGGCGCCCAGGTCCCGGGTGCAGAGCTCGGAGCAGCCCGCCCAGCTAGGTCCCAACCTCAGCCAAATCGCAGGGTGAAACAAGTACCGCCTTGAGCTCAACCTGCCGGGGCCAGGCTGTAGCGCAGCCCACCAGACTCACCGCGGGACCAGCCAAGACCAGAAGAGCCTGCAGCTCCTCTCGGAAACCGGACAACAGCGGGCAGCGCAGCCCGCGCCGGTCGGTGGTGGCCGAGGTGCCTCTGGGCCCGGGCCCGAACTCCGAGGAAGCCTCCATGTGCCGAGCGCTAGGTTGCAGAGGAGCTCGGCTGCTCCCGGCCCTGACCGCAAAGTGCGGGCCCCCCTCCAGTCCCCGCCCCTGGCCTCCGCCCCCAGCCAGCCCAGCCAGTCTGCGACCTCGGACGCGATTCTGCGCCTATGCGCCCCTGAGGACACCCGCGCGTCCAGCAAAGACCCGCGAACTCGTAACGCATCGCCCGGGCGGCTGGGTCTCGGAATCCCTGACGCCAGAGCTCGCCGGTCCTGCGCCTCTCCCTTAGGTTTCAGGCTCTGAGGAGTGTGCGGCGGAACGACCCGGAGTCCCTTAGCTGTAACCGGTTGGGAGTCCAGCCAGGCATCGGCGGTGGGTGCTTTGGTGATGTCTGCTGCGCGGCTTGCACTCAGCGCACGCTTTGATATCCGCTTGGATTTTGCGCTCTTTCCCGCCAGCTGTTCCGTTAAAGAATTTAGAATCTACCAGGAAAGAGCAACAAGCACGGTCAGTGTCTTCGGAGCTCCTCGGATGTTTATCCTTGATCCTGATGGGAAAGAAGCTGTGAGCATGCGGTAAATGTAGGTTTGAGAGAGATCTGCCTCCTAGGAGCACAAAGACAGCCTGCTCAGTGCCCCGACCCTCAGCTTCCATGTCTGTAAACTCACTCGCCACTTATGAGCGGATATTTCGTAGGTGGAGGACTTGTGTCCCTCAGCCTGGCACATGATCACTGCCTAACAAATGTTACTGACAGGATCGAGGATGAGTTCTGTAATAGCCAAAGAAACTGGAATACAAAAATGTTTGGGTTCATGTAACCAGGAAGTTTTGATTCCAGGACTTAAAAACAAGATCAGTAGTGTTTTCTCCTTCCCTCTGCCTTCACCACACCATCTGTGATTCTGCCCTTGGTTGTATTCACCCCTTCAGAGGCCCCTCCCTTCTTGTACGGGGCGGGGGGGGGGCGCGGACAGGACTCTTATTCCCTTACTTCCCACCTTGTAGGCCAGAAAATAAAACACTTCTCCCCTCTCTTCTATCTCCAAACTGTTAAACAAAACGGTGAGAAAGCTTGATCCGACCTTGCTCAGGCTTCTTGCTCACTTCTGGGAACCATCACCCTGGCCAGGAAAACAGGGCCTTATGTGTGGCTGGACCTGTACTATGCACTGAGCTCTGATTCAAAGGGGTTGAACGCTGTCATGACCTTAATCATCCCACCAAAATTGCATGTGTGGAGTAAAGAAGTTTTCCCCTAAGAAATGGGGGTCTCAACAACAAAACTCCTTGAATATACACCAGATCTCTGATCACTGCTTTTTTATGACTTTCCTATTTTTTGATATTGCAATGCTCAGTGCTTCTTGGTCCTCAGATTCTCCTGCCGCCATGACATGTAGCGTGTGTCTTCTTGGGTGCAGATCCAGTGGCTTGTTTTTCTTGCCTTTGTAGAATTTCCTGCGATTTTCTTTGAGTCTAGTTAATAATGGTGAGAATGCAGGCAATGTGCTTTGGTCTTGCAGATATGGCTTGTGTAAGCCTCATGTGGTCATAAGTGGGGTTTTTAGGAGGTGGCTGAATAGAGGGTGTGTGCTGCTGGGAAGTAAGGGTGGGACTGATTCACAGTGGATTAAGGGTGTGAGTACTACACCCACCCCCCAGCCTGAATAAGAAATAAGGGACATAAAGAGCTGCTGTGGTCACTACTTGTTGTTTGTTACCTGTAGCCTGCTGTTTGATACCTTCTGTTTCTGCCTGCCGTGAACTTTCTCCTCTGCAATGCCAACCTGCCTCGGAGCCAGGCAATTATGAACTGAAACCTCTACAAACTGTGAACCAAATAAACCTTTCCTCCTTTAATTTGGGGTGTTGGATATTTTATCTCAGCAACCAGAAAAGTAACTAAGACACTTGGTCATGGTATCACCCATCACTTTGATGTTGCGAAGATATTTTATCTCAGCAACCAGAAAAGTAACTAAGACACTTGGTCATGGTATCACCCATCACTTTGATGTTGCGAAGTTAGGACAGCTGCACATGCAGGCCACCCAGCTGTTTCAGCAATTCCTCTTTCACACTTGCACTTGAGAGGCTGAGACCAGAAGATCACTTGAGCCCAGGAGTTAAGATGCAGCCTGCACAACATAGTAAGGTCTTGCTTCTTAAAAACAAAAAAACAAAACAAACAAACAAACAAACAAAAAACAAGGTGCCAGGGATTTAGCTCAGTGGTTCTGCCGCCTTCCTCACAAGCATAAGGTCCTGAGTTTGATCCCCTGTACCCCTCCAAAGAAAACCCCCAAAAAACTAATAGGAAATTAAATTAAGGGGAAGAAAGAAAAGGACATAAAGGTTTTTGTTTCTTCTGAAGCTGATGGTTGCTATGGTTTGGATATGGTTTGAATACACCCCCAGAGGTTCATGTGCTAGAAGATTGGTCCTCACTGTGGCAATGTTGAGAGGTGGCATTTCTAAGAGGTGGAGCCTTAGTCACCTGGGAGTGCTGCTCTTGGAAGTAGTTCTTACAGAATCCAAGAGAAACTTGTTATCACAAGAGCAAGCCTGACCCCCGATCCCTCTAGATTCTGGTCTTGCTATGTGATCTCTCCCACAATGTGTCATCTTCCATGTTGTGATGTAATGAAAAGGCCCTCAGCAGAGCCAAGCAGATGCTGGGACCATGCTCTTGAATCTCCTGGACCATGAGCTAAATAGCACTTCTTTCTTTATAAAGTACCCAGACTCAAGTATTTTCTTGTAGTGATAGAAAATAAACTAATACATGGGTCTATTCAGGGTTTGTTTGTTTGTTTATTTGTTTGTTTCTGGTTAATTTCTTTTTTCACTTCTGAATCAGTTCTGGTTGTTCATGCTAAATATTTATAGGTTGATGCTATAACAAATTACCACAAATTTAGTGGCTTAAAACATACACATTGATTATCACACAGAGGTCAAAAGGCCTGGAATGGATTTTTATATCATCAGGGATGCATTCCTGCTGGAGGTTTCAGGAGATAAATCTGTTTTCTTTCCTCTTCAAGATTCTAGAAGTGCCTATATTCCTTGGCTTATGACCTCTTCCTCCATCCAAAGTGTATCACTCTGTGCTAGGATTTGGACATGGCTTGAATGTTTCCTCCAAGAGTTCACATGTTGGAAACATGGTCCTCAGTGTGATGATGTGAGAGGTAACAAGACCTGAAGAAGTGGAGCCCACTGAGCGGTCACTGAAGACATCACCCTCAGAAAAGTCTCGTGGAGTTGTTCTTATAAGAGCTGGTTATTATGAAAGAGCAAGCTCAATCCCTCCCTGCTCTTGCTTCCTGCCTCAACCTGTAATCTTTCCCTCTTACACATACTCCCATCACAGTACCATCTGCCATGATGTGATGAAGCCAGGGGGCCCTCACCAGAGCCAGTGCTATGCTCTTCATACTTTCCACTTCCAAACTGTGAGTTAAATAAACTTCCTTTCTTTATTTATTACCCAGCCTCAGGTATTGTGTTATAGCAATAGAAAATGGACTCATGTGCTCCAAACTCTGCTCTGTCATTATATCTCCTTTTTCTGACTTTGACCCTTTTGATCTCCTCTTATAAAGATCCTTGAGATTCTATGGGCTCACCCAATAATCCAGGATGATCTTTTCATCTCATCTTTGATCATGTGTACACATACCTGCACTTTGTAAGGTAGCATATCCATAGGTTCCAAGGAAAAGATATCTTTAGAATAGATATCTCTGGGAGCCATTATTCTATATTTCAACTCACCATCTTCTCAGCATGTCTCCAACTTTCCTGATTTCTTTGTTTGTTTGTTCACTTATTGTATGTTTGTTTTGTTTTCTTTCTGTCACTGGGGATTGAACCCAGGACCTCACACACACTAGACAAGCACTCTACTGTAAGCTACACTCTCAGATCTCCTTTATTTCTCATCCTGATCAACATTTCATCTTCTAGCAAATATTTTCTCAAGTAGGATGGATATGCAGTAGGACTTTCTGAAAAGTACATTGCTCCTCTAATTTTATTTGTATTGTCAGTAACTAAAATCAATACAGCAGCTGATTCAGCAATTCTTTTCACACCTAACAGTTGATTTTATCTAGTCCAATAATCACATTTTCTTTGTCGGGAAACCATGTTGAATGGTCAGGCATGACTCGACGTTAGCAGTGAAACATGAGTGAAATTCTGATAGTATTTCTGGAGAAGGTTTCCATGTTTCTAAGCAAGAATTGGAGGAAGAAAAGGCCTTCACTCTCTCCTTTGCATGTTACAATATCTGCATGCTACAGCCAGAAGTGCTGAAAAGGGCAAATTCAAGAAAACTGGGGAGCAAAAGGGAGGGGTTTTTTTGTTTACCCACACAAAAAAGAGAAACAATTTTTTCAGTTTTACTAGCTTTTCCCAGAGATCATGAAAGAAAACACAAGCCAGTTGGTTGATCTACAGATATCAAAGGGCTGCTCTCCATTCTAGGGAGAGAGAACACTTTCCATATTGAGCGATTTGAGCCGCACTAGTTGACAAATAATAAAAACAAATCTCAGGGTCCTAGCGGATATCAGTATCCCAAAAAAATAAACAAAACCCCTTAACAACCAAAATTCCTGTTGTAGACTGCAGGGCAGTGACCACCAAATAGTCTCATCATCAAAAACCCCACTGTGAGAAATAAGTCACTGTGCACAGATCAGAAACTTGGCCAATAAGTAAACCTAATCTAGAAACTAAAGCAAAAGAAGATCCAGCAGACACTAAGCCAAAATATGCAGACTCAGTGAAAGTCAAGCTGTATTGATTCCTGTAAGTCCTCACAGGCTGGGCAAGCAGCCCTTTAGCGCAGTTTTCTTGGCCCTGGTAAGGAGGTCCCTCCAGGTGCTCTTGGCTGCCCCTCAGTATTGGCAGGAAAATACAGCCAGCACTTAAGACAAGAGGAGGATGTTATTTACAAAATAATTGCAAGTTCATACTTCAGGGAATGGATTGCTAAATAAGAAATCATGATGTGTTTTGGGAGGAAAAATGAGACTGATTATTATGGCTAATAAAACTGTCTGTTCAAAGTGTGAGGGGAAAAATTTTTCACATGATAACTGTATCCATATAGGTTGTAACAGATCTTCAGCTATCACGTTATGAAAGTCAGAAAGAAGTATTTTAGGTCAAAGAGTCAACAACTTATAGGAATGACTCAATTAGCATTGGTTTGGGGATTCTAGAATGTGTCAGAGTAACCCTGTGTGTTTTGGTTTGGTTTACCT